CTCCAACAGAATTTTGGTGGGAGAAATATTATAGTGATACAAGTTTAGATGTAATTTTTTTTGAGAAATGAAATGCGTAGATATTAACACTAATAGGCTCATTGTACAACTTAATAAAAGATAGTTTCAAGTTTAAAAAACCCTGATGTACAAAGTACAATAGCAGTTGGAAAGTCAAATAATAAAACAATAGGCTGGACAACCAGATTTGTGGAATATTTAAGCCCAAGGAAATGAATCTAACAGTTTATTAAGTAAGACCACCCATGGTGAACTGTGTCCATGTTTAAGAAGAGCCAGTAGAACCATTTCGAGTATTGCAATAAAGATGATTCTGTATTTAAAATTCTCCAGCTATGTTGAAGATGAAGGTGATTAAATTCAAGAAGTAAAGGCTCAGCGACATGATTGCTGATTGTTAAAATTAAGACATTTAGTAGGCTAATTGTAGACTGCAGAATGCAAACTGCAGAAGATGCAAACGTGGGAAAATAAGCTTAAAACCATTTGTTAGACTTGTAACTAGTAACTTCTAACTCCTATCATAGTAAGGTACTTATTGTGGAGGAACATTTTCGGTCAGAAATCTGAAAATATTCACAATGTACAATGTATTCAAATATTATAGGCTAAATGAAGTAATAAACAGAAATAAAACCATAGATTGAATTTTGTATACCACAATCGGAATATTGCAACAGATACAGCATTCATTTTCAGATCACATGGCTATATTTGATTAAAATCCTCAATATGGGATTTTACTTCTAAATTTCTAAAATGGGCTAGCTTTGAAACATAATATGATTTTTAAAAAAGCTGTTTGATCAGTTACTTGTGACAAATTCTTGGAAAATTTGGTGGCAATTACATAATTGTTATTCAAGAACTCCTGTACACCTCAAAACCCAACAGTTTGATGAATAGTGATTGATCAATGGACAATTGGTGAGTTTATAAATGTACTTTTCCCCTTGGACGTTCAAGAAGTTTCTATAAGTGAGTGAAAATAATGAAATTCTAGTCCACTTAATACCTAATGAGGTAATGGTTTGTCGTTTTTCTTTTATTCATTCATTTGATGCGAGCATCACCGGCTAGGCCAGTATTTATTGTCCGTCCCTAACTGCCCAGAGGCAGTCTTTTCATGTTGAATTAGGTTAGCTGTTTCTGGAGCAACCAATTTAGTTTTCAGTCAAGTATATGGATTCTTTTAAAATGTGAGATACACACAATCTACCAAGAAAGATAATTGTATTTCTGTCATGTACACATCCAAGAAAACCAAATTAGAGGAACGTTGCTCAAATAGATGGGGAAGAAATAAAATCCTTGCCTGTAAAGTGATGTGTAAACTTCTTTCATTGAAGACAAATAAACACAAACTAGACTTAAATGAGAGAATCTAATTTGTCAAAAAGCGATCTATTTGTGATCTACCAGTTCAGATCCCTCGATTAGAAATGGCTTGTTTGGATGACTCATTGGGTCAATTGCTAGATATTGCCATTAACTGATGAGGAAACACCCTAATTACACATCATTGGGCAAAAGGACTCGTTAAAGTTTGCTTCTGATTACACTACTCCATAAGTCAGTTTTGCTTGCAGTTACAGATTCACAGATTGTAACTTGAAGATAGTTACATGCAGTTGGAGGAGCACAGCAGGTCAGGCAGCATCAGAGGAGCAGGAGATTCAACATTTTGGGCTTGGACCCTTCATCACAACTTTCATCAGAGTCCTGATGAGGGGTCCAGGCCCAAAACATCGACTCTCCTGCTCCTCTGATGCTACCTGACCTGCTGTGTTCCTCCAGCTCCACACTGTATTGACTCTGATTCCAGCATCTGCAGTTCTTGCAATCTCCTAGTTACATGCAATTGTTAGTCAAACCTCCACCCATCCTCTTCTGTTCGGGTAGATAGCTAAGCAGACAGCCTACTCTAAAACTAACTTGATACAAATGAGTAATTGGACCATAAGATGAAGGAACAGAAGTTGTCCACTGTGCATATCAGTCAATGACACCATGACTAATCTGATGATCCTCAACTCTAAATAAAAACTGAAACAACTGTGGATGCTGTAAATCAGGAACAAAATCAAAGTTGCTGGAAAAGCTCAGCAGGTCTGGCAGCATCTGTGAAGGAAAAAACAAGAGTTAACGTTTCGGGTCCGGTGACCCTTCCTCAGAACTGATTTGCTATGCTCTGAGAGAAGAAATTCTTCTTCATCTCAGGCTTAAATGGGTGAGCTCTTACTCTGAGATTATGCCCTCTGGTCATAGGGCCACCTACAAGGGCAAACAAACCTCTTTGCATCTACTCTGTCAAGCTCCCTTTGAATCATAAACGTTTCCCTCAGTTTACTTCTCATCCTTCTAAACTTCAGGGAGTCCAGGCCCAAACTACTCAATCTATCCTCATTAAAAAAATAAATCCCTGCATACCCAGGATCAGCCTAGTGAACACTTTCAGGACTGCTTTTGATGCCTTCGATAAAGGGACTAAAGCTGCTCACAGTATTCTAGGTTCTATGCCTAGTTTGAACTAGACTTCCTGTTTTTATATATTTTCTAATTAAGTCTGTTAAGATGTTATTATACACCACTGGAACAGTTAGGACTTGAACCTAGACCTCCTAGCTCAGAGGTAGGAACACTACCATGCATAAGAAGAGCCCTGACTCCCCTATTTTCATTCTCCATCTTCTTTGAAATAACAGCCAACATTCTATTTGCCTATTAGCAGCTGAACCTATATACTATCTTCTCGTGCTTTTTATGCACAAAGTCCCCCAAATTCCACCTTTCTGTAGTCTTTCTCCATGTAAATAATACTTGGCTCCTCCTATTCTTGTCAAAGTGCATAATCTCATATTTTCCCACATATATTCCATCTGCCAAGTTTTTGCCCACAAACTGAACCTGTCTGTATCCCTTGCCTTCCCTCTATTTTTGTGTCATTGGCAAATTTGGTGATAGCATGTTTACATCTTCATCCAAATCATTAGTATATATTGTAAATAATTGTGGCCCCAGCACTGATTCCTGTGGCACTCCACAAGTTACAGGTTGCCATCCTGAAAATACATCATTACAGATCAATTTTATTTTCAAATTCATTTGTGGGATGTGGGCGTTGCTGAGTCGCCTACTTGCCCTTGAGAAGATGGTGGTGAGCTGCTTTCCTGAACTGCTGCAGTCCACCTGCTGTGGGTTGACTCACAATGCCACTAGAGAGGGAATTCCAGGATTTTTGACCCAGCAACAGTGAAGGAATGGCAATATGTTTCCAAGTCAGGATTGCGAGTGACTTCAAGGAGAAATTGAAGGTCGTGGTGTTTCCAGGTGTTTGCTTTCCTTGTCCTTCGAGATGGAAGTGGTTGTTGGTTTGCAAGGTACTGTCTAAAGATCTTAGATGCACTGCAAGAATTCATCTTGTAGATAGTACACACTGTTGCTACTGAGAATTGGTGAGTTGGGGGTAAGTGGACACTTATGGATGTGGTGCAATCATACAGCTTTGTCCTGGATGGTGTCAAGCTTCTTGAGTGTTGTTGGAACTGCAGTCCAGACAAGTAGGGAATGTTCCATCACAGACCCAGCAACAGTGAAAGATCGGAGATATATTTCCAGGCTTTGAGGGAAACCTGAAGGTGCTGGTGTTACCATATATCTGCTGCTGTTGTCCTTCTAAATAGAAATGGCCGTGGGTTTGCAAGGTGCTTTATCCTGTATGGTGTCAATCTTCCCAGAGTGGTGTTGGAGCTGTGTTCATCCAGGCAAGTGGGGAGTACTCCATCACAATTCTGACTTGTGCCCTATTTATCTCTTTGGGGAGTCAGGAGGTGAGTTACTCACCGCAGTCTTCCTAATCTTGTAGCCACTGTGTTTATGTGGTGAGTCCAGTTGAGTTTCTGGTCAATGATAAGCCCCAGGATATTGATAGTGGGGATTCTGTGTTCACCAATAAGATTGTCTCTGTCCCTTACTGGTGATGGTCATAGCCTGGCATTTGTGTGGCACAAGTATTAGTTGCCACTTGTCAGCTTAAGCCTGGATATTGACCAGATCTTGTTGCATTTGAGCATGGACTGCTTCAGGTCTGAGGAGTTGTGAATGGTGCTAAACATTGTTCAATTATCTGGCGAACACTCCCACTTCTGACCTTATGATGGACGGAAGGTCATTGATAAAGCAGCTGAAGATGATTGGGCCTAAGACACTACCCTGAGTAACTCCTGCAGAGATGTTCTGGAGCTGGGATGACTGACCTCCAACAACCACTACCACCTTCCTATCTGTCAGGTTTAACTGTGACCACCAGAGAGTTAGCCCCAATACCCATTGATTCCAGTTTTGCTCGGCCTTTTTGATGCCACACTCAGTTGAATGCAGCCTTGATGTCAAGGGCTGTCACTTTCACCTCACGTCTGGAATTCAGCTGTTTCGTCCATGTTTGAACCAAGGCTATAATGAGGTGAGGCGCTGAGTAGCTCTGGCGGAACCCAAACTGGGCATCACTGAGTAGGTGCTGCTTCATAGTACTGTTGATGACACCTTCCATCACTTTCATGATGATCAAGAGTAGGCCGATCGGACAGTAATTGGCCAGGTTGGATTTGACCCGCTTTCTGTGTACAGGACGTATCTGGGCAATTTTCCACATTGCTGGGTAGGTGCCAGTGTTGTAACTTTACTGGAACAGCTTAGTTAGGGGAGCAGTAAGTTCTGGAGCACAAGTCTTCAGGACTATTGCCTGAATGTTGTCAGGACCCATAGCCTTTGCAGCGTTCAGTGTATCTAACCATTTCTTGATATTACGAGGAGTGAATCAAATTGGCTGAAGGCCGGTTGTATCTGTAATGCTGGGGGCCACTGTGTATTTACTGATTTATTGGGTAATATGCAGCTTTTTTTCCCTAAAATAAACAAAGTGCGCATAAGAGCTTTTGTAATGCACATGTTTCTAATTGTTGTACTTCTTTCTTTCTCAGGTCACCATGGAGTAATAAGTATGATCCTCCTCTGGAAGATGGTGCCATGCCATCAGCTCGCTTGCGAAAACTGGAAGTTGAAGCCAACAAAGCATTTGATCAGTACCGAGACCTGTAAGTCTTATACCCAGTTAAGTTTAATAATATTTTCCTCACTACTTTTAATCCAGTAGGTCCAAATTTAACCAGAGACATTTATCAATTGTTTTAAATCGCACTCTGTTTTGGTCCACCTTTTTAATCTTAGAATTATCTTCAAATTGGTACTTTCTAATTTGTGACACTAATTTCAAATGATTACCTGAAATGTGGCTGCTGAATGGTGGAAGTTTTTAAATGTTATCTGGAATTTCTTCTAAATTCTACAGTGGACTGTCCAATTGTATTGACCTTGGGTACTGGTTGTGTCCCCTCAAAGCCCATGTGAATGCCTGATATCAGTGTACAGTGATTCAGTCTCTTTTTGTTTTGAAACATTTTATAAAGTTAAAAACTATCCAAAAATTACTTCAGATGACTGACTTGGCTGGAATAGAAAGATGCCAATTCTGATCTCAACAGAGAAGCAAAAAACAGTCGTCTGTTGGGAATTGATTTGTTCCCATTCTTCTCCATTTGTTTTGCAATTAAAGTTGAAATCTTGTTTTCTTTATTTGTTCTTGATATATGGGCCATCTACACTCCTTAAACAACGCAATCATTGTGGTGATAAGACTCCCATGAAATTACAAGGTGGGAAATTCCAGGATTTTGATCCAGTGATAATAAAAGACTGACAATATACTTCCAATTTTAGATGAGGTGTGAATTAAGTTGGAGGTGATAAGGTTTCTGTAATATCCTGACCTCCTTGGTGGTAGAGACTGAAAGACTTGACGTGCTGTTGAAGGAAGGTTGGTGACTTGCTGCAGTGTATGTGGTGTACAGTATATACTGAGCCACTGCACGGGTGATAAGGTGATGAATATGAAATTCATGACAACAGAGGCATTTGTTATAAACTGTTTTTGTCAGCAATGGTGTTAAGCTTCTTGAAAGTTAATGTGGCTATATCTTTGCTGCTAAATGAAGACTATCTGAGCTGCTCTAACTTAAGCTTGTAGGTGGTAAATATACTTTGAGGAGTAAGCAATTCATTGTAGAATACCTTGCCTCTGCCCTGCTCTTGCAGCCAGTATGTTAATATGGTTGCTCCAGCGAAATTTCTGGTCAGTAGTTACACGCAAGACATTGATGGTGGGAACTTTTGTAATGATGTTGACTTCAAAGGTTGGAAGGGAGGTGGTTAGAGCTTTTTCTGGAATTTATACCAACACTTTAATCTCTCACTATAGATTATCACGGGCCACACTATCATCAAAGGGGTTGCAAGTGGAATTGAACATTACAAAATTGTCAGTGAACAGTCCTACTTAAGATCTTGTGACAGATAGGGGCCTTAATTTAATATCTCCTCCAAAAAGCCATCACCTCCAGATAATACAAAATTTGAATGCTTCGTAGTCATGTGCTTGCGTCCTGGCGCATGCATGTTCACCCTTCTTGTTTAAGCACACGTACTGTGAACTGAACCTTAGCACTTGATTTTCAATGACTGCATAAAATCTTTAGTTGCTAACAAAGTATTTTCAAAAAGAATACAACAAGAGTTGAAATGTAGATGGCTATCCAGAGGGTGTTTGATTCAAACTAAACTGATTTGTAAGGAAATGGGGTTGCAGTGTAAGTAAAAACAGACTTTTGTTGACCAGTATATCGTTTGCATATTGTACAAGGAGCAAGGCTTGTCTATAAATGCTGAAAATTGCTCTGCCCTCTGGTAGGCTTTTCGTATTCGAGTTTTTTTTTTTGTTTAGTGGGGGGAGTTCTCCAAAATCTGGCATTTGACAAAGCACCACTATTATGTTATACAATATTATTATATATTTAAGATGTGCTGTATCCTGCCAGTATTCTCCCTTGAGTTTAATGCATAACAGATTTTTCCATCTCTGTAGTGCTGCAATCGTTCCATGGCTTATTCACTGAGCTGCAGTTGTATAAAATAAAACAATTTAAAAAGTTACTTAATCACAGGCTAATTATTTTGCAATGGACTAGTGCATTGTCAACCATACAATAATAATAGTGACATGTTGCAAGTGCCATTTTTTGAAAAACTGGTATACAATAATTTACGTAGCTGGTGTAAGAGAGGCATATGCTTACCTGTATCATTTTTATTCATTTCTTTTCTTGGGATGTGGGAGTCGCTGTTTTCATTATCCACCCCTCGCTGCCCCTGTGAAGTCAGTGATGGGTTACCTTTTTGAACTGCTGCAGTCTGTGAGATAAAGCTACCCCCAACAGTGCTGTTGGGCAGGGAGTTCTAGAATTTTGGCCAAATAACAATGAAGAAACAGTGTGAGATAGTAACAACTGCTGATGCTGGAGTCAGAGATACAGTGTGTCTGTGTTTGAGAAGTGAATTTGTAGTTGATAGTGTACATCTATAGGATTGTGTAGTTACATAATCCATGTTCGACCCAGATTTAGGCCAGTAATACTAGGATGCATTCCATTATTCTAGAAAGCAAAACTTTAAAGGGTGGCCTTCAGTTAATCTTGAGAGTAAGTGTTTGAGATGCATTTTGTTTATCAGTGGCCTATGGGTCACGCAAGCAATGTTTCTTTAATCTCATAGACTGAGTAGATCAATTCCAGACTTCCACATTGCTCAGCTGAGCCTTGTTTTCCATGACCCCCCTCAGTGCTTCTATGTCCTGTATTGTGGAATTCAAAACTGCACAGAAAATTGAAGTTTCTTTCAAGAACTGGTTGGTTTGTTCTATACAATGGCAAAAGCCACACATTTGTAGGTGCTGCTGTTAAGAAATGACAAATTAATAAAAAATGTTATACTTGCCTCAAAAAGTTGTTAAGTATTTAGCAAATTTGTTTTTTATTTAAATGCTGAAAATTTTGCATTTCCATTCCAAAAGCCACATTGATATCTTTGTCCAATGCTGCTGTTGATCCTATGTTATTCAGAAATGGCAGTTTACCTACACCATAATTTTGGTGCACAAGAACTTCACACTCTGAAGTTGTCATGGCTTTTCATTTAATTATATTTACAGCATATTTAGCATCCTTTAGATTGATGCCTTGTGAAAATTGAGTGATCTCACCACATCCAGAATGCATTACTTATGATTAACTTGGAAAAGTAAGTTAGGATTGCAGTCACTTCTAATAGTCTATTAAATTTCGCGGTTCTAAAACGGATTTTCTCCTTTGGATAAGTGTACGCCCATAAGAGAATTTGTATTTCCTATAAAGCAGAGTATAGGAGCCTGGCCACATACTGGAATATACCACATTATGTCCTTTCCTGCACAACATGCAGAAAATACTTTCAATCTGACTGTTATTCTGCATACAAGTAAAAGACACGTTTATGTAACATTGGACAAGTAAATGAACACCTACTTGGGACGGATGGTATTCTGGCACTGTTTACAAACTTTCTATTTTATTCAAAATGGCATGGATGTTTCTTCTGCACTAACCTGTCAAAATAAAATTCAACCTTGAAAAGCAGTCAGTCCTCTGATTAGCTTCATATCTCTGACAGCCTCAAACTGACTGCCTTCTGGTTACGTGACTACCAAGATGTACTTCCAGATTTCTTTAAAGAACTTATTTTAAAAGAAAAGGGAACTAAAAGCAAATACTGTATTTTTCATAATTGCGTTTTGGTGGTCAGAAACTCATAGGTTTCAAAACAACATCTGCTTACCTAAATGCAGCTGTTAAATGCATATTTAAATGTCTTGACAGAGTACAGAAAATTGAATGGAATGGTTTGATCCATTGAGCACTCCCAAATGCTCGAAATGTTCTGTGACACATCTATCTGTCTGAGACCAATGGCCACTTAGTTGATATAAACATGACCTAGTTATGGCTTACTAAACCACAACGAATGCACACAAAAATCCTTGATCCCCAGTACCATTGTCAAAGTTTTTTCGTCTTCCCTGTGATCCTTATAGAAAGCTAGCTGTACTGAATTTTATTCTTGATCATACAAATTGTTAATATGGTGGTAAACTACCGACAATTGAGTGGACCCGCATCAGAGTTTTGTAACATTTTGTATCAAATTTGAAAACTCAACTTGAAGACATTTTTATTTGGGAAGATTATTGGAATTCATAATGTTCCAGATTTGAAGAATACCACTTGAAACATAATATTGTCTTTCCGTATCAGATATTCTATTAAGTAGTTCATACTTGCATGTTTCATTTCAGAAATTTTATTACATTTCTAAAACTACAAGTGAAATCACTCAATATGTAGGAAAATAAATTGATCTGTACATTCTTAGCTTATGATCTGCCTGTACCGTTTGTAAACAAAGGTTTTCACTGTATTTCTGTACACGTGACAATAAATAAATCAATCAATCAATCAAAAATTGCCTGGAAGTGACTGCCATTTCGATTTTGGGGAATGGACTGAATGACACTTGTCAGGAAAGGTAAACTAATGGATTATGAAACTTTGGCTTAGAATAGTAGGTATTCGGGATTTAATGAAGCCTGTGTTCTTCAGGCAGCTCTATTTTATTAACTTACATTTACGTGTGACTGGCAGATATTTTGAAGGAGGAGTCTCTTCCGTCTACCTCTGGGACTTAGACCATGGTTTTGCTGGTGTGATACTTATCAAGAAAGCTGGTGACGGATCAAAAAAGATCAAAGGCTGCTGGGACTCCATACATGTGGTGGAAGTTCAGGTACATCCTGAAGGGAAACTGATAGATTCTGTTTCAAGATAGTTAAGTTTGAAAGTTTTCTTTTGTTAATTCTTGGAATGTGACTAAACCTGGCAAGACCAGCATTTAATGCTCATCCTTAACTGCTAAGATGGTGGTAAACTATCTACAATTGAGTGGAGCCACAAATATGCCAGACTGGGTAAGGATTGCAGATTTCCTGTCCTGAAGTAGTGAACAAGGTGGATGTTTTTGCCAATCCATAAACTTATGATCATTTCATTTGAAAGTGTTTGTTTTTAATTAATTGTGTTGAAATTTCTCAAGATGTTGTGATATAATTTGACCTCTTGTATCCAGAGTATTAGTGATCTCCTCTGGTTTATTATAAGTCCAGTAACATTACCAACATGCTACAATCCCCCTTGAAAACAATATGCTGAAAACTCAAGAATTTCTGTGCAGGTCAAAAGTCTGATTTTTAAAATTTGTCAACTGTTAGCTGTTAATCTAAATCTATTCTGTGCACCATGACGCCCTTTCACATTGCCCTGTGTCCCACCAACAATGACAGTGTGGTACCATAACCAATGTAAATTATAATGCATAGTGCATGAACCAGTGTATCTCGTATCCTGATAGCAGACTCTTTCTATTGTCTTTTAAAATGGGTAACTGGGGGCACATAGTATTAACTGCAGAATAAGGTTTGTAGGTCTTGCCTTGAGTGTTACTCTTTCAACGTTATGCAAAGTTAACATATTCTTTAAAAAGTTTGAGAAAGATATTGAAAATTGGCCTTTCTACCAGCTACGGTACTGCGAAGTAGTCCATTTTGCCAAGCACAAATATGGACAACATCTTCAAAATTATAGACAAACAAAATCTTTAATAACCGTAGTGCAGAAAAAGGTGGTTCCCATGAAATCTTGAATTACAATGAAATAGAAGAGAGCTATTCAGCTCTTTAAGCCCTTTCAAGAAAGGGGTGTTCCAGATATCCAGTAATGTTTTTCGGTGGGAAAGTGCTCCCTGATTTCACTACTAGCTGATTAGCTACAATTTTAGGAAATTGTCCTTTTTGTTCCCTTTCAGAGGCAACAGTTTCTCTTTCTATCACATTGAATCCTCCTATTATTTTGATTAGATCACTACTTAACCGTTAAAATTCTAGGCAATGCAACCATGTTTACACCACCTGAGTTCATAATCCTTTCAACCCCCTATTATCATTCTGGTAATTCTACTACATGCCCTTTGTAAGACCAGTTTATTATTCCCCAAGGTTTGGCACCCTTAATTGAACGTGCAGTCAGTATGAGTCTGACCAAGACTTCACGCAACTGGCTATCATTTTCTCCTATTTATATTCCAAGACCCTTGAGTTAAAGACTATTTTTTTCTTCAGTTTGTTTGTACCAATATATCAATTTTTCTAATTTTGTACAGGAGTACCTAAACCTTATGCTTTTCTTCATTTCCTAATTTTTCATCAGAAGAAATTACTCCAACTTGACTTATTTGATCCAAAGTAGATGGTTTCATGCTTTCCTGCATTGAACTGCATTTGCCCAGTCACTTTGTAATATCCAGGCTTCCATCTGCACAACTTACTATGTCTGTCAACTGATTGCACAAACTTTGTAAATGACAACACTCTCTTCCTTCATGCAATCTGACTGTAAAGTATACATGTTTTGGTAATTAGAAGAAGGGCTAATAATTCTGTTACCAAAATACAGCATTTAATGATCCTGGCATAGTTATCAACTGCATTCTATGCAAATATACCTGGTGCACCCTTAATTTATAAGTGTTGTAATATTTATAGACTCTTCAGACATTTTTAATATAAAAGGTGGCCATTTGATCACTTTAATTGGAAGTCTTTGTTGCAACAATCGAAAACTAATCCTACTGCCTTTCCCTCCTGTAACCTGTGTTTTTCTGTTTCAGATGCTTATCCATTCCTCCCTTGTACAATATAATTGTCTGCATCTTGAATACTCCCTGTTGCCAAGCATTCTAAAGTTGAAATGCGATAATATGTTTGAAAAAAATATGTTGTGTTTGCAACAGATGATTCATATTTAATTCAATTTCTAGGAGAAGTCGAGTGGACGTACTGCTCATTACAAGCTGACTTCTACAGTTATGCTTTGGCTACAGACAAACAAGGCTGGCTCTGGAACTATGAATCTCGGTGGCAGTCTGACCAGACAGGTACAGTATTGTGGCATGCTTTTGATTCCTTGTGTTAATGCTTTTCAAGATTACTCACCTCTGCTTTTAATTTTCTCCTGCCTACTCTGCTTCAAAAGTTCCCATTTAACCTTCTATTAAGAGGGTTTTGGTCAACTGAAATAAGATTCAGAAGTCGTTCTTTTGTATCTTTAGATAGAAAGTTGGCAACATAGGACATTTCTGTACCCAAATTGTTAAGGTTTAGGTAGGTGAGGGTTGAGTTGTTTGGTGTGGGGTGCAATATTTAAATTTTTTTTATTCACTTATCTGTGACTGTAGGGACTGTTTAAATTGTGGGCCACCTCTTATTTGGAGAGATGTTTTGCACCCAGTTTACCTGTAGAAAATGGACTAACATCTGATAGTTAACAATTCAGTGTGTTCTACCATGCCCATTATCGGGCTGAAACTGTTCAGCCAAAGTTGTATCTTCTGTGCAGAGTACTGCATTATGTGATATTAAGATGTACTTGCACAGGCAGGCTGATGTAGTGAAACATATACAGGCAAACTAATTCAGTGATCACCATATTCGGTGATTCTCATTTAACCCCACCTCATTGATTTGATGTTACACAATTGTGTTCTCGGTGATTATACATTTATATTGATAAGTCAGTTTCTCAATGCTCTTTGCCATTTGGCATGTTCTGAAGCAAATAGAAAAGGATTCCAGTTTGTTTGTGTTATACAGTGCCTAATAGTTAAAATCCCAGGGAATCTGATCCAAATTTATGCTTTTGTGAGACTTCAAACAGTGTGTAAACTTAATAGCTTGCTAGTGATGGTTAATGTCTGTTTTATTGTTGAAGTTAAATGATAGGTGTTCTTTACAGTAAATAGTCACTTATTGGCTTTTTGTATCTTTGCAGTGAGCCACTTTCACACTGTGACTCCTTTTCTAGGATACATGACTATGGCAGTAGTGAATTGTACATGTAGACAGGCAACGCAAAGTAGCATATTGAAGTCTTACTTTACGACTCTGCCATAGAGTATTTCTGATGGGCGCTGCCCTTGCGTCTTGCTGAGTGACAAAGGCAGGATAGAAAAAAAATGTTAATGCTTGTATGTGCATTGTAGTTACTCATGTCTCAGGTTACTTACACTCATTCTTAAAATCAGAATTAATAAAAAATTTTCGTGGTAAACCTACAGTCAGACCCATTGATTCATTGAGTACAGATACGTGAATCCCTTATCCTCACGCAGCATTTGACCCATTATGCTTATTCCAGCATTTTTGGAAGGGCAGTCCAGTTAATTGCACTCCCCTAGTCTTTCCCCAAAACCCTACAAGATTTCCTTTTCAGATATCTATCCCTTCTGACAGTTTCAGGCATTGCGTTCCAAATCATAATTTTCTGGTAAAAATAATAACATTTTCCGTCCTCCAGCCCCAGTTCATTTGCCAACAGTATTAAATTTGCATCCTTCAGTAACTGGCCATTCTGCGAGTGGAAGTATTTTCTCTCTCTCCTTTCTATCACAAGCCTTCATAGTTTTTGGTTACCTCAGTTGAATCTCCCCTTAACCTTCTCTGCTGTGAGGAGAACAATACCATCTGTTCTAATTTTCCCATTCAGCTGAAGTTGCTCTGCCCTAGTACTGTTCTGGTATATCTCTTTGACATCCTTCCTAACATATGGTACCAGAATTGAACACGGTACTCCAGCAGAGCTCAAACCATAAGTTTATGAAGGTTTCACATAATTTCCTAGCTTTTCTACTCTTTGTCAAGAGTATTGAATGCTTTTTTCTTTTGGTCGTGCTGACTTCAAAAATTTGTTCCTACATCGCTTGAACCTCTTTACCCTTGGTGCAAATATTTTTGTTGTTAAATGTATTATATTTTAGGTGTTGGTTCATATTCCATGAAACTTTTAATAACCTGTGTAATTAGTACTTAACTGTTCCACATATTTTAAGCTTGTTACTTATGCCTTTAGGAGGCCAGAGAATTTTGAGGATGAAAATTCATCTTTGCACAGTATTGAAATGTTTGGGTGAAAGTGTTTTTGGTAGAGCTATTCTATTGAAAGGTTTTGTTTCAAAGTCTAGAAAGTAAAGTATGAAGCTTTAAACAATTTTTTGTGTCATCCAGATTTAAGTTAATCTGAGCAACTGCTGGTAAGGAATAGATGAGACTGCAAAACTGCTATCTTTAATACATAGATGAGGTAACATAGGTCAGCCGAATTGGCTGTTTCAATTTGTGAGTAATAGTTAATATTAATTATTAAGTGACATCAAGGAAGATGAAAGGGAATGCAATGCTATATGCAATGCGTGTTCAATAGCAACCGAAATCGATAAGTGGCGAAAATAGCCTCTTAATTGAGCATCCGCTGTGGTGCAATTCAAGGAAATGGAATCCAAAGTGCAGTTTTACAGTAGCTTCTCTTATACGCAGTTTTTACATACATTAAAATTTTAACACTATGGTATCTCATAGCTGTATTTATTGTACACAAGTTTGCATGACATCTGTCCTGCTGGGGAAGCCGCCGATAGTTTAAGCACTTGCTAAATGCTGGCTGTTAGCCCTGATGGGATTAGAGTATCTGTCCGACCTGAGTTTGCACAATTAAGAGGTGTTGGTCCTTTTGTCTTTAAAGTTAGTAATGTTAGTAGAAATACTGGAGCTTTATGATCTAAATAAGTGAGAAATTATAAGTGTATAAATAAAAGAATGAAGGATATTAAACTGATCTCCCGCAGCTGGGTTGTGAGATTTCATCTACCATTGCCGGTTTTTGACAGTTCCTACGCATTCATTCATGCAGTTTCACAGTAAGTTTCTTAAAGAGAGTAGCAGTCCTATTTAATATGTACTTAAAAAGTATAAATCCATACATTAGTACAAGATTGTAGTCCTGAATAAAAGTTAGAAATAGTTGGTACAGTGTTATCGAAATAGGTAGTGTATAAGGAAATTTCAAAGAGATAAAAAGCAGCAGACTGTAAGGACATGCTGGTGGAGGTCCCGAGAGTCGGTTCCTAAGGGCTAATTAATGTTATAATCTTTCCATAGTTTCGAGTGAGTTATGGAGACACTATGGTGGGAATGGCATTGTTCTGAGTAAGTTAGTGTATAAACACTTATTCA